AATGTAAAATCTATCTACTTAAGAAGTCTGCGTAAGAAGTCTACCTAAGAGTCTGCATAGCCTTCAAATAATGTAAAATATATCTATTTATGAAGTCTGCATAAGAAGTCTGTGTTATAAGTCTACCTAAATACTTGTTATATTACCAAATCTGCCAATGTTATCTGGCTTACAACAAAAAACTTCCTACCACAGGTACAACTGAGTTACATTAGTTGGTGGGGTACAAAAAATTTACGCACCATACATTAGTTCTAATTATGAGATACACATGGAAGATGTCATACTCCTTCATAGACGTCCAAATACGCCCAGTCTTGTTTATCAGGCACGTGGAAGTCGATCTCGTTAAATAACCCACTTGCAAAGCTCAGTCTGCTCCTCTTCATGTTGTCAGCAGTAAATGTCGACGGAAATGGCAGCCCAAGTGCATGATACTCAATAAACTTTAGGCAATAAAATCCACAATCACCACCACCATCTTGTTGTGGCACTACATCAGCTTCCATCCTTGTGTGCGTGAAACGCTCATATGTTAATTTCTCTTTATCTTCGGGGGAAGCCACTTCTCGAAGAAGATATGGCAGCATGACTGCAATAGGCTCCACTGCTGAAGCTATCTCTTCAGAACTAGCATGAATGTGGAGCCTGTCCCAAATGATAATGTGCCTAGAAGGTATCGATATACACAGAGCAATCCAATGATCCCCTTTAACGTTCAATGGCATGTATATGTCATCAATCTGGAGCCCCCATGTCTTGTCCGTTTTGCAGAATTGTGGTGCCTCGCCATTGTAATAATCAAACGCACCAGCTGGCAGCATTCTACCTGAGCCATCTGGATTCGGTGTACTATCGACGAACTCTTTGTATTTGTTACTCCACATCAAGCCCATTAATGCATCAAGCAGGCAAATACGGTCACTCCTAAACCATTCTGGATGTTTCGACATCCGGTGCCTCAGCAAGTTCATGATGGCGTCCATATGCTGCAGCCACAAATAAATAGAGAATAAGTCTACACGAGAAGTCTATGTAAGAAGTCTACATTAGAATTCTATGTAAGAAGTCTACGTTAGAAGTCTACACAAAAGTCTTACCGTGTCTTGCAGCCACTGCAATGGGGTTCTCAGAAGCCACCACCAGTGGTTCAACGGTTGCTTCGTAGGGTCTCTTTTTAGCCAATTTCTGCATAGACATGAGTAGATAATACTCATATTATCTTGACAAAATTACTGAATATGTAAACTTCATAGAACTTGTTTCGATAGTGGAGACTTACGGAAGATGTTTCAGCCAATCTTGTAAAGCCATACTCTTCTCCGTGTCGACGGGAGCAAGAGGATCATATCCACCGACTGGTTTTCCCTCAACGGGAGCAACATGTTTATAGCAAGCAGATAGCCTCCTTATCCTATCGCCCTTAGCTCTTGCCATAATTTCTGCTGCCCTCTTCTGCGTCTCTTGTTTATTTAACTGATTATCCACATCTTTTAGGGTTCGTGGGAAGTTTCCTAGATATACGAGACTTGGTTCTTTCTCTTGGTTCACACTTTCACATGGATCTGGTTGTTTTTTCTGCAAGTAAGCATTATTAAGATGTCAATTCAAAGAAGGGAAAAAACATAAGAGGCTTTAATAATTTTAAAGAAGTACAAACATCACAAAATACAAGTACAATTACTCAAATTAAAAGGTTCTGCGGGTACAAAAAATGAATTTGTTTGATTAAAGTCTACTTCTTAGGCTTAGTTCGTGCCCTAGTAGAGGGAGGCCTTTTAGAAGGTATTGTAGGGGGATCGGAACTAACCCGACCAGCAGGTGGATCTTGTTTACGGGTGTCGTCGTTAGACTTCACCTGCTCCGCATTCTTCGGGTCCTTCATCTTCGCAATGGTTTCCTCCACAGCCACGACCTTGCCAGTAAGGGCCTTCAACTGCAAATTGCACGCCTCAAACCCAAGCTGCATTTCCACAGACAATGCTGAGCAGGAGGCTTGGATTTGTTTTTTAATCGTCTCCACCAGAGTCTTCAAACTATCCTCATCAATTGAAGGAGTATCAACTGCACACGACCTCTTCCGGCTTTCATCATCAGATTCGACGCTTCTTTTCTTGCCCGCTGTGGCCTCCGACTTGACATTGCTCGACTTTAAAACACCATGGACCCGCCAATCACTTGACTTCCACTTCCAACCATCAACACTAAACTCTCCAGACATTGCTTTCAAAATATTCCAGATCGGGACATCATCTACCTCATCATCCCAAGTTGGGAACATATCCCCCATCGCCTTCACAGTAAATTTGTTGAAACTAACCTGCCATAATTTAGGTGATATTAGTAAGACAAAGGAAGCCTACACAAGATGACTACACACAAAGACTACATAATAAGTCTACAGAAGAAGTCTAAACAAGAAGTCTACATAAGAAGTCTAAACAAGAAGTCTACATAAGAAGGCTACACCAGAAGTCTATACGAAAAGTCTACACGAGAAGTCTATGCAAGAAGTCTTCAAAATAATGTGAATCGAATGCAGTTTTACCTGTTTAAGCAGAGCCTCTTTGATGTACTTTCATCCTCGGCAACCGGCGTAAGCCAGAACCGGTGGAGTGGGGTTGTAGGGAAAGGGATTGCCGTACTCAGCTCCGAATTCTGGCATAGCATAATACGCCCAGACTTGTAGCACCACAACAAACCCTGGAAGCGTATATGCTTTGGTCAAATTTGGTTTTTTCACTGAATCGATGACAGTCTTGAAAGCCACTCTTCCCCACGGGTAATTTTCAAAAGCCTCTAAATCCATGACTAGCCTTGCCAGTTTAGCCCGTGTGGGTGAGTCCCTTCTGCGTCCCTCAATGAATCCAGCGTATATGGATAAATATCCTAACCGAAGCCTATCCTCCCTTGTCCATGCTCCAGCATACTTACATGCTTCTGTATGATCTTAAATACTGGGACCAACCTCTACATTAACGCCAAGCTTCTCCCAAAATTCTCTCGTATCAGGAGTGACATCAGCTTGTGGATCCTCCAGATCTGCTATGTACTCACAGTTGAGACCAGTCAGGGCTTCAAACTCATTTAGTGAGAACCTCAATGGGTTTACACCGAACAAAGTCCACATCTCGTACTTCTTCTTGCATTGAAGCTGAAAACCGAGTAGGAAGTGAACCACCCTCGATGCCCACCCAAAGTTCAGTTTGTAGAATTTTAGAAATACGCCCAGCTTTGATTCCAGCAGCTCTTCCCATTCATCGGTTCTCAGTACTGCTTCCAAGGCAGGAAACAGCTTCGAGTCATTGCTGTAGTAGCCTATGCTTTTAGCCGGCAGAGGCTCATCTCCCTTTGTGTATAATCTTTTTGGGAATTGGGGATTCTCCATCCTAAACAAATGGGCGAGCCCGAGCAAACATGTAATAATTAATGTATATGTGACTGAAATCTGAATGGGAAGTCTACGAATGAAGTCTGCTTAGGAAGTCTACGAATGAAGTCTGCTTAAGAAATCTACAGAAAAATTTAGGTACAACATAAGCTTACCTTTTTTCAAATCCCGAAATAACTGAAACCACAACAAAGCCAACGGAGACAACCAAGGGAAGATCTGTAAAACCAAAAAAAAATCTCAAATTTTGAAGACGAAATTAAAATATATGACATACAAAATGGGGGATGACGAAATATTACCGGCGATGACCGTGACGAGTGGATAGGTCAGATTGCAAAAGCGGCAGCAACAACATAAAAGCAACGACGAGAAGATAAGAGATAAATAAAAATCGATTAAAATAAAGGAACAGATAATAGGTAAGAGATCTGGTGAGTGGGAGAGAGAACAAAGGGTACCAGCAGCGACGATGTGAAGAGGTGGCGGCGACAACGATGGAGATCGTGTATATGCGATAAAAATGACGACTGTGAGAGAGGCTTCGAAGATCTAGAGAAAATTAGGGTTTGTTAGAGAGTAAATTCTCTATACGGTAAACCATATATATATGTCGGTTAGATTGTTCAATTTACCAATAAACTGGTCTGGTAAATTCCGGTTCCGGGCAAATTTGTTATTTTCGGCTTGGTTTAACTTGAATAGCAGACTTCTGTAGATGTCTGCAAGACAAGTCTTCAAGAGAAGTCTACTGATTCGCACCGGTTTATTCCAGATTTATCTGGTTCCCGCCCAATAAGTTAAATAATTTTGATATTCCCGCTTGGTTTTATTTGAATTGCAGACTTCTTTAGCCGTCTACAGTAGAAGTCTACAAGAGAAGTCTACTTACTTGGTTCGATTGTGATTCGCGCCGGTTTATTACGGATTTATCTGGTTTCCGCCCAATAAGTTGAATAATTTTGGTATTCCCGCTTGGTTTTATTCGATATGCAGACTTCTTTAGACGTCTACAATAGAAGTCTACAAGCGAAGTCTACTTACTTGGTTTGATTGTGATTCGCGCCGGTTTATTACGGATTTATCTGGTTCCCGCCCAATAAGTTGAATAATTTTGATATTCCCGCTTGGTTATATTCGATATGCAGACTTCTTTAGACATCTACAATAGAAGTCTACAAGCGAAGTCTACTTGTTCGATTGTGATTCGCGCCGGTTTATTACGGATTTATCTGGTTTCCGCCCAATAAGTTGAATAATTTTGGTATTCCCGCTTGGTTTTATTCGATATGCAGACTTCTTTAGACGTCTACAATAGAAGTCTACAAGCGAAGTCTACTTACTTGGTTCGATTGTGATTCGCGCCGGTTTATTACGGATTTATCTGGTTCCCGCCCAATAAGTTGAATAATTTTGGTATTCCCGCTTGGTTTTATTCGAATTGTAGACTTCTTTAGACGTCTACAATAGAAGTCTACAATAGAAGTCTAAATAGGGAACATTCGTGTAGATGAATTTCAAAAGATACGATGATATACTAAGATCTACTCAAGCTAGCACAAAGGCAGATGATCAAAACTACAAAGAGTAGAGAAAGAACAATCACATTCCTCAGCTCAAGGCATCTCAAACGCTTCTTGTCTACAACTAGCTCTTTTAGTTGAGCTAGTTCTGCCTCAATCCGATTCTGTGCTTCCTGTCCATCACCATTTTGGAGGACACAAATACTGTCTCCTTTGTTGTCCAGGGCACATCATAGCTCATGAAATTCCTCCATCACGGCCTCATCCCACCAATTGACTAGATGAGGGGGACTAAACTATACAAGAACAACAAAATACGTACATTTTTTTTCGTATGAAAACAATTTTGTTACAAAACATAAAACACTAAAACAATCTGTTTACCTTATAATCCTTGCATCCAAAGAACATCCTACCAGGATATTCGTCTGCACTGTCCATTGGTCTCATCACGGTAAGCAAACCGCAGTAGCATCTGTTAGGAATTCCACAACTCATAGATCGACGCAAAGGAGTAGAGCTCACTTCTGGTTCTCCATTACTCCACAACCTTCTAGAACTACTTGAAGGTTGACTGTAGCTGTATCGCCCCATTCCTATGTTCGAATATGGACACAGATCTGCAATAAAGTCAAAGGGAAATGTTGAAACTCAAATTATAAACCCGATATGAAGACCAGATGAAGATCCATTGACAGAAAAATATGAACACAGCAAAATAATAAATTAGACGAACGGCTTACTAATAGCACAAAAGGAAAGGGAGAGGAGGTTGATGGCGAGAGAGAGAGAGATGAGGGAGATTACCATTTACCAAAGATAGAACCACTTTTATGGTTCAAGGAGTAAAGAAGGAAACAAAACGACGACCATAGACTACATTATATCACTAATCTCGTTCCATCAGTCAAGCTACATGATCATACACATTCATTTCGTCCTGAAGACCCCAAGATTTCCCCCTTTCATCGCCCCATTCAAGCATTATCACCCTTAAAGCCTAACGGCTAGAAGATTCATATCAAGACCAAAAATCCCAAACTCTTTGCTTCTGTTTTAATTATTATTACCATTGCTTTCTATTATTTCTGAGCATTATATATGTCATTCCCATTGGATTTGATGTTCGGAATATTCAAGAAATTAAAAGTTATTTTGTTTGTTTACAAAGAAAGTTCTTTGCATTCAAAGTTGTTCCTGCGATTTACTTAGCTTCTTTGAGGGATTCAGAGAGTTAGTAAGACGTGTACTTCTTGTGAGGATTATCTCTTGAAGACTAGAATCTAAACTCTTGGTGTTTGGAGTTTAAGCACACTGGTTTATCAATCAACAAACCATTTCTCCATCAACTCTAGCTTCAAGCAACGATTTCAAAGAAGCATAACTTGAACCTCATTTCAAGTCTTGTGTCACCACTGGATGTCAACGTCCAGCTCACTTGGCGCCCACAAGGCAGGATTGGTAACTGCCGTTTTCTTCTTACGTTTACTCTGGCCGTCAAAAATGTCTTTTAATCCGCTGGTTTCTGCTTTGTCAGGTTCTGCGGCGACGTCTGCCTTCGAACAGGTTGAGCTGCGCCGGCTGTTCGCGCTAGACGAGCGGTTCAGGTTGTTAGACTTTCTGCTCTCACCGGCGAGCATTGGGCAAACTCTCTCGTCCTCCCGTCCCGCGTGACGCCGGACATCCCAGGTAACAATCATAACTCTTCGGCTTCTGATCCCGTGTTAGTCCTACGAGTCTCGCTTACTGATTCTATTCCGGCAGGTTCCCAAGATCGGATAGAGGAGATCTGGGATCTCTTCCCCGGGGTCGCTTGCCCAACGCGAGGTTTACGCGGGGTGCACGGAGGACGCCTGTTCAGACGCCGTGCCGGAGACCTCGAGCCAATTCCCCCGAAGGGGAGGCTTCGTCCTGGCTTTCTCGCTGGAGGCGTCTTACCGGATCTCCTGTGGTAAGGGCGACATGGTCTCCCGGTCCTTCTCTCGTCCGTCTCAGACTCACCTCTTTGGAGTCTGACTCCTCCTCCAGCAGCGGGGCTTTGAGGGAGGCTGATGCCCCCATGTAAAGTACTTGGGGACCGTCGAGATGTCCAAGACCTCGCGAGCTGCTACTCTGGTCCCTGCTGCACCGGGCTCGCCGAAGGCGATGAGCGTCTCTTTGGAGCGCCTCGTCCGACCGCTTCCTCGGCCGGCGAGCTCACTATGTGGCGGCTAACTGCCTCGGACCTCACACGCTCACTGGACGCGGTAAGTTTCTTCTTTTGGGATTTCCTCCCTCTTCGCTTCCTGGATTTTCGTCTCTTACTTGCTGTTTTGCTTGTGACGCTCTCTTGAGAAGCTGGAGCACGAGCTCCATGCGACCAAACATCGGGAATAAGGCCTCGCTGACAGGACTAGCGAGCTCCAGGTCGAACTCCTAGTGACCCGGGGCCAAGTCGTTGAGGCCCAGACTTCTATTCGGGGGGAAGATCTAAGCGCAGAGATGGAGTGCCTATCCTTGGCGCTGACGGATAGCCAGCGGGACCTGGAAGTTCGCAAGCAGACGCTCTACAAAACCCTCATGGTGTACCGAGGGTTCACTCCCGGGGCCGAGACAGACCTGGCGTTGATAGCGGTCGATGCCTTCAAGAGCAGCCAGGCTACAATATGCATGCTCAGGCGGGTGCTGGAGGAGGAACATCGACGGAGAGGAGCACGGGGGCTGAATGCTTTAGGGGCAGCAGGAGGCGCTGGAGGCGCGGACCCTTCTTTACCAGCGGGATCTTCATCCCCACCGAGTTTATAAATTAAAGTGTTTTTTCGCAGGGACTTTTGTCCCCTGTAAGTTGTAAAACCTCAAACCTGGATCGGTGGCCGCTTTTTGGCCTTTTGTTTTTCTTTTTAATGCACTTCAGTTTGCTCCACATATATTTGTCTTTCATGCACTTCTTTCATGCTCTGCTTCGTTTTAGTGGATCTGATTTCTCAGCTTCGGGGCCAGTACGCGTGATGGTCTCAAAGCCTTGAGTTTTGTTAGATAGAACCGCGGCTTGCGGGCCTTCTATGTTTTTCGCATAGCTGGCCCGTGTATACCGCTTCCTTCGTGGAACGCTCGCCGGCGATCTCCCCTTCTTTTAGCGCCAACTGTTCGGGAGCAAATTTCAGGATGCCACGTGGGGGTGTGTGATTCGTGATGTAGGAGTTTACTCAACTTCAAATCCTACACGTATTCATATCATTGTAGTATGTAGGTATCAATCCAAATGGGCAAAGTAAGTAATCAGGAATGCAATAGACTATCTAATTCAACCAAGCAATGATTAGATAAAGTGAACTATGATACTAATAACTAAAGAGACTTCAATTGAACTAGAGCAAGCAAAGCAAGACCAATAAACTAAAGCAAGTTCAAATTCAAACAATCAAAGACTAGTAGGTTTGAGATTGGGTAATTGATCTAAGGAGACTTTCTGCTTAACTAATGATGCTTACAAACCCACAATAAGCTATTCCTAGAAATAGAATTAACAGCTATAACTAACTCAATTTCTTGATACTAATCACTTTACTAAGCACATAATCAGATAAATTCCATTACTGAAATAGATGACCAGCAAGCATTAAGAACAACTAACCCAATTCTATATTGCCAATCTACTTCCTAGACATATAATTCCTTAGGCTAAGATTAGCAAATCTCTTACTTGACTCATTCAGGCATTTCATCAAACACTTATCAGGCATAAGAGAACCCTAGAATCTAGAACAACTTAGCAAGGGCTAATCTAGCATTAAACACAATCAATAAGAAGGAACAATAACATTAAACACTAAGCAATCACTAATCAAGCCTCAAATCTCCCTATCTCTATCCCATCTCAAACCCTAAGCAGACTACTCACTAATCATGGTTTTAGTCATAACCCCTAGTGATACAATATGGAAAAATACTAAATCAATTATCTTCATTATGTGGATTTATTATAAGAATCTGGCCTTCATCATTTCACAAAATCAGAGGATTCTCATTTAAGTCTAAAGAGAAATTGGTGCCAAGAAGACTTTTATTTGATTTAGCTTATTTTTCTCCTTTTGTTTAAATGTAAATAATTTCATTTAAGTGTATTTATTTGTAAAGATCCTTTGTAAGAGCTATAAAAGCTCATTGTTCTGTTGTAAAAAAAATATAGAAATTTTTGGAAATTAAAAGAGATTTTTCTCTAAAGCTTGGCTTTGTTTTTGTTTATCTAAGCAAGATGGAATTTTTCACTTAGTAAACATTTGAATCTATGTTTCTTGTGTGCGATGCCTTGAGACTAGGTTTGTGAACTCATCACAGGGGCTTTCACACCCTTGAGTGGCGTTCTTCGATCCACCCTTCTATTCCATTTCATCCACCGATCAAGCCTGAAAGAGACTTCAGTCCAGCAGATTGATCGCTCAACCATCCACTTCGATCATCTTTTAAGCAAGAAGAAAGAGACTTCAGTCCAGCTGCTTGCTTCCACCCATTCACCCAAGCATTATAAGATCATACCCCCTTGATCTTATATCATTTGGTATCAGAGCTAAAAGCTCCTATCCTCTATTTTTTTTTATTTTTTTGTTTTGTTTTTGTTTCATGTTTTATCAAGATTCCCATTAAAAAGAACAAAAAAAAAGTTTTGGTTGTTTTTATTCTTTAATTTTTATAAACTTAAAAAAAAAAACTCAAAGAATGATTTTATGTTTTTGTTCTTTGATTCATGATTTTTTTATTTAAAAAAAACCCAAAAATAATCAGTATTTTTCCCTTAAAATTAAATTTTATTTCTTTCATTAAAAAAACAAAAAAAACTCTTTTTCTATTTATGTTTTTGTTTATTCCGATTTTTTTGTTTAAAAAAATTATAAAATAAAAAAAAAATTATTTATGTTATATGTAATATTTGCTAAAAAGTTTTTTTTAAAAAAAAAAAATCAGTTTTGAGGACAAAACCATTTGAAGAGGGAGAGAATGATATAATATAGAAAAATACTAAATCAATTATCTTCATTATGTGGATTTATTATAAGAATCTGGGCTTCATCATTTCACAAAATCATAGGATTCTCATTTAAGTCTAAAGAGAAATTGGTGCCAAGAAGACTTTTATTTGATTTAGCTTATTTTTCTCCTTTTGTTTAAATGTAAATAATTTCATTTAAGTGTATTTATTTGTAAAGATCCTTTATAAGAGCTATAAAAGCTCATTGTTCTGTTGTAAAAAAATATAGAAATTTTTGGAAATTAAAAGAAATTTTTCTCTAAAGCTTTGGCTTTGTTTTTGTTTATCTAAGCAAGATGGAATTCTTCACTTAGTAAATATTTGAATCTATGTTTCTTGGGGGGAATTCCTCTTTATAACCTAAAATTTGATTTTTTCTCAATATGTAGACCCCTTATTGAATGTTTAGCAAAACTAACCCAAATGGGTAGTGAAATTACAGCTCAGTCCTTTGTGACTAAACAAAAAACGTCTGTCACAGTTACGATTTTATTCTTCGTGAAGTCTACATAAGAAGTCTACGATTATAAAGAAGTCTATTTTTGTAGACTATTAATGAAGTCTACTACTATATAATTAGTTTTTTAAAAATTGATTAGAAAATATAGAATAAAT